CGCCCGGCTCCGGTCCCCTCCGGCCTCCCCCGCCGAGAGCTGCACTGGCAGCGAAACCCCCATTTATTCCGCTCTCCCCTCCAGGCCGGGACAGGCTGCAGCCGGGCAGCACAAAAAAATTGGTAGAATAAAAATCAGGAAAAGGGAACTGCACTAAACCAAATCACTGCTGCAAGAGCTGAGCAAGGTACAAGACACTGCACCTTTTTTTTGCTAAACTCCCAGACATTTTACAGGGTGAGACCCCCTCAGGGGTTGAAGCTTTCATGGCATTGGGAGGCCCACATTGCAATCAGGTTGTTGAAACCAGAGAACAGCCTCAGCAAACGCACCATGAGCAGTTTGGGAACATTTTCTGCAGCGCTGTGTGGCCTGGCTCAATCCAAAGCCTGAACTCATCCACACCATGGCTGTGTGGCTCGGGACCCGTCGCTGTGGCTCTGAGAGTCCATCCCGCACACAGCCGTGGGACTGGGCTGCACAACCCCCCTCAGCCGATCCCCCATACCGCGATTCTCAACAGCCATACCCAAAGCATCAACCCATATCACCGAGGGGATGGGACAGTTCTACCTGCTGCTGAGGAGCACACCCAGGAGCCAGCGATGGGAAGGGAAAAATCAGGTGGCTCCTGCTGCCCCATGCTCCACGCTCTGGTTATCCTCCCTTTTGGGCAGCAGGAGGGTAACGGCGGCCCTGCGGGGTCCAGCTGAGCATACACACCAAGAGGAAAGGAATAAAGAAAGTGCAGCCAGACATGAGCATAACAAAATATTTAATGTACCTTTTTTCAAAGGTAGGCCACGCGTTGTGCGCATTGTGCTCAGATGCTTTCAGACAACAGCAGCTGCAGAAAATCCACCCAGGCAACACAGCAAAATGCCACACAGAATTACAGTTCCACATCACAAGAGAAACCCAAATTAAATACAATCTATTCCAAGCCCGACTGTGAAACAGTCATTTCTTTCCAAAAACGATGCTGTGCAGCTCTGGATGAGCGTCCTGAGAATAGGACTGTCCTAGGAACTCGGTGAGCCAGCCGGCGCTGCAGGGAACAGCCTGTGGGCGTCAACGCTCCCCTGTCCAAGGCCAGCTAAGAGCAATGGTGGATCCCCTACCAACCACGGCACAACTCATCTTGAATGCTTTGCCTGCTAAAGTGCTTTTGGACATTCTGATGTTAAAAGGCACTAGAAGAAAACAAACGCAATTGCTGAGCAGCTTGTGAGGTGAACTTCAGGCAATGCAAACCCCCGCTGATAGGATTACGTCAGAGAGAAATTCCGGCCATCCCAATAGGCAAACTCTGGCGCAGTCTCACAGCAAGTCACTCGCTGCGTTGAGTCACTTGAAACCAAACTGGTGCACACAGTTTTTGAGAGCAAATCTGTCCCAGCATATGGGAGAACAAGGTGACTAGAGGTCTCTCCCATCTCCCACTCCTCTAATTCTAGGACATTTAGCTTCAAATGCCATGTGCTTTGCCAAAGCAGCATCAGAAACAAAACCTGTCCTCCTAGCACTTTGCCCTAAAACCAGTCTCATTCCCCAAAAGCAAACAATATTCCTGTTACAGTCCTTTCCCCAGCAGCGACTCCCAGTTAGCAAAGCGCACATCAGAAATTTATGAGACAGATGCTGCTGACCAGAGGCGAGTGATGAAGTGACTCTTAGGTGCAACTTCTAATATCATATAGTTGTGGTTGTCACTCCTTTCTCCTCCACTCACTAGACAACCAGCTGCCTTTACAGGCCTGTAACATTTCTGACTAACAGCGCAAAGGGATCTATAAACCAGGCTGTGTGCCAAAGCCCTCAGACCAAGGAATGCCTCTTCCACAGCCTGGGCCAGACTGGCATGACAAACTCTGACTTTGCCATCTGTTGGATGGAGGCAAGCTTATTTAATGCAGAGTGGAGAAAAAAAACCATCCCAGAGTGGAGGAGCTGCTCTGTACTCTCCATTGCTGCCCTCTCTGCAGAGCAGCCAAATTGCAGGCCTCTAAAGCTGTTTGCCTGCATCACCTCAAGCTCCACAGCACACTTGAGGAACATTGTCTTTCAATTTTCACACAGTTTTCTGTTCTTTATTCTTTGCCCCTGTGACAACCATAGCAACTCACCCTCTGTTTCTGAGGCTGCAACTCCCACTGCCAAGTTCCTAACCATTTTCCCCTCTATTCTGTGCAGTTTAGCAGCAGCTCTTTGACATAAAATCAGAAACAAGAGTCTTGTAATATTTAGACAGAATGGATGAGTCCCCATTTCCTATGGAAGCCTAAGTCAGCACAGAAAATTTTCTACTGTGGCCAGTCCTGTCCCTGCTAACCATGACGGCATTCTGCTCTACCAGCAGCCAAAAGACAGTAACAATCCCAACCTGTTTCAAAACGAGACATCTCTCTCCCTCAGAAGGATGCCATGAGGTTAAGTTCATTACTGGTTATGATGTCTTTCCAAGAACAACAGATGAACAATAAACAAAGGCAAAATATTGTTAAGAAGGTTTTGGACGAATCTCAGAAGAGTCTAAATAACACAGGAAAACGCCAATAGGATTGAGGCACTTTGAGAAACTTAACTCTACATTCTCTGCTTTTTCTCCTCTAAGCAAAACTGCTCATTTTTAGAGTACATGCAGCTAACACGCTCTCTTCGAGGCTCATATATATTAGCCTCACACCTGACACTGCTCAGTGAATTTAACTTTATGTAGCTCTCAAAGTCACCTGCAGTGAAACAGCCACTTTGCACTCAAACCACAACAGACACAAAGTTATTTGGCCTGGGCTTGCAAGATCTCTCTCTAGATCTCTCAGCCACCAGTGAAACAGCTGCTTTTTAAAAAACAGCCTCTCACAATAGTTCAGGATAAGCGAGCAACACTGATACACTCAAAATCACCAGAAGTTGTGTCAGCAGAATGGAATTGGTCACGCTGGAATTTGGCCAGGCCATTTGGGATTAACACCCTGAATATTGCAAAAGAGCCACGAAAAGCTCTGCATTAAGAGAAGAGCCATCAAACCATCCTCTACATAACTGCAGTGCTCTGCCTCATCCACCACTTCCCAGACGACTAACAGGCTTTTGTGTCACAGAGGCTCTTCCCTGGAAGCCTGCCTTCCATGCATTGATCCAGCCGCACCCTGCTCAAGCTTGAAAAAACAGAGAATAAAAGATAAGGAAGAAAGTAATTTTCCTCTTTTTCCCTATTAGGTAAATCCAAGTTTTTGTTGTTTTGTTTTGTTTTTTTTTTAAACCATTCACAAACCCCCTGAAACTCCAGAAAAACACTTCTCCGGCTCTAATTTAATCATCCTTTTCTTGTCAAACACCATGCTAAGCCAACCAATTCTGGTTTGACATTCAGTCCTCTTACTTCAGCTAATCTTGTCAAAACATTTTCATTTGTTAGCACCACTGTAGGACTGAGGTTCAGAAATGTTTTGAGGCCATTACAGACATACTTGCTAGATATATAGAAAGGTAGGATTTAAAAAAAATAAATAAAATTACTAGTTTCCACAGGACTTTTCCTTCATTATTCCAACTTAGACTAAATATTTCTAAAACTCTGTACAGCATTTGCTTACTCACTGCACTGAAGCAAAGAACCCTGAAGTAAGAATTAGGCTTGTGCGTTGAATCCCTATTGAGCGGGGTTCTTAATCTGCAGGTCTACTTGTAAAAAGCGTGACTGAGGCAATGCAAAATCCTAAGAGATGTATGGCAAGACACGCAGGAAGAGAAATGAGCACTTAGGATACAATCAAGCTCACCAGAGCTGAAGAAAGAGAAAGTTTGGGTCAGTATGATCCAGTAGAAGATTCTGTGCTTAAGGTGGCTGAGAACGTGCAGCCAGCCAGTGGTAACCAAGAAGCAGCAGCTGGCATTGAAGAAAAGGAAAACTGAGGTTCTGTGCGCACTGAAGAGGTTTTAACTGACTTCACAACAGCAGGACAGAACTACCTGTGCAACACAGAGAAAATAATATGGTGCAAGCAGCAGACCATAGAGCAAGGAAATAAAGCTGTGTGGATGCAGTGATAGAAGTGCCATTATGTTGGTTAAGCAGCACTAGCTAGGCCAGGATCCCTCTCTGTGATCCAGGGCAAGCACAGGAATTCACCCACTGTATCAGGTGCCTTTTCAGAGCACAGTCCGCTTGGTTCCCCTCTGCCCCCACTAAACACACACTGATATTATAGGAGACAGAGTTAAAAAAAGTGCTCAGTTGAACAGCTTCCAGCAAAGCAGTTCAGTGTCTTCAGCAGAACTGCAGTCTCCTTCTCCTTCTGCTTGGTCTCAGGAGGTGATTTCCTACAAGGCTGGCGGAGCTCTGACATTTCCAACATGCTCACAACAGAGCAAAGCCATTGGTTTCCCCTCCTCCAGGAGAACACCAGGTAGCCACGTACATGCCCCTTTCAGCCTTCCTTCCTCATCGTGCTATCGGTGTTCTTCAGGGCACACAGGAGGCTGCAGAACAGCTCATACCAAAAGAAGACAAAGCCAGTAGAGACAGCAGCCTTCAGCAAGCTGGGTGAAAGGCCCTTAAAGAATCCACCTGGGCCCTCCTCTCGCATGATCTGCCTTATGCAGTCCAGAAGACCCCTATACATCCGTACCTGGGAGAGAAATGGTGAAAAGGTTAAATAAGAAAACTCCAGGGCAGCTTACCTGGAAAAGAACACAGAGACCCCCAAACTATACCACAGAAACAATCTAGACATGCAGCCTGGAGATGCCTTTCTGGCTATTCTTATAACTAACTGAAAGTTTCAGAGAGCCAGTTTGTAGAGAGTGGGGTAGAAGAAAAGTACATATTTTGCATCAGCAATGGCTTATGCAGATTGAATGGATGGAAAATCTTTATGCTACAACAGCATGTTATTCTTTATGGTATGAAGTAATTATTTCGATCGTCCCGCTACTGTTTTCCATCTCCTTCACTCTCTAAGGAGGGAAAACTTTTCAGTTTTCTGACAGAAAGAAAACACAGTTACAGCACTTAGAAGTCTTTAAACTAGTTATCTGCATGTCATTGTGTCACACTTCGAAGGTTAATATGTGACACATCAATGCACAAATTCTGTACCTCACTGGAAGAGGAAAAGCATTCAATGCAATGGATTAAGACCTCAAATTTCTATCCCAGAATTTCTTGAGGTACAGACTGATTTTCTTCTTGGAGCCAACAAAATTTGAATGAAAAAAGAAAATTTCCACATTTTATGGAAAAAAAAAAAAGATCTATATTTGACTTACAGTGTACTTCGAGGTGGTAAGGATGGTGCTAAAGAATACCAGAACTATTTAATTTGCTTTGAATTTCAGGATGTTCTGTATGTAAGACACATGCTAAGCACTTGCTGCTCATTCCTTGTATCAAAATGCTAATTGCAGAAAAGGATCCTGACAGACAAGTGATCCCAGCATAAAGCTAGTGTCATCTTCTGCTAGTCCTGAATCACAAATACCAAGCTGCAACTAGAAATGTAGAGTAAATCAAAACCCCTTTGCCTGCCTAACTCATTCCCAGCTCTGAGACAGCCAACCTGATGGAGATGGATGAGACGGCAGAGCACAGGTATGTTGGACAATGTCATAAAATGAACTCAGTTTATTCATGCAGCTATTCCCCTTATTAAGCGTGACCAACACTCAGCTCCCAGCAGTTCCCTGGGAGCTCCCAACCCAAATATGAACACAAGAGGTACCACTGGTGAATCATCCCTGTATTCTGGTGATGACTGGCTCTCAATTGTCTTGATGCAAATCCATGCTTACAGAAATCAGTCAATTCAAACATTTCTCACCTGCCCAAAGGCTCTCCGGGCATGCTCAAAGCCACCCACTTGCAGTCGTTTTTTGAACAGGTCAAAAGGGTAAGTGAGGGTTTTGCTGATGATTCCGGCGCAGCTGCCACAAACAAGGTTTTTAACATTGCCTGAGCAGAGAGGAGAGGATAGCGGGGAAGGAAAAAAGAGGATTAGCAGGGAGTTCTGATTAAAGATGATGTTAGTTAAAATCACTTTACACAAGAAGTAAGGCCAAAAAGTCTCTTTAAAGTTACATCACCTCTTCAGCATAGTTCGGGCCGCAGAACCATAGATCCTCCTGGAAACTACACTAAGGCGTATGGAAAATGAGGTGGTGATTGGTGACAGCCAACATGGCTTCTCTAAGGGCAAATTGTGCTTGACGAATTCGGTGGCCTTCTATAGCAGGGTTACAGCATTGGTGGATAAGGGAAGAGCAACTGACATCATCTACCTGGACTCATGCAAAGAATTTAACACTGTCCTGCATATCATCCTTGTCTCTAAATTGGAGAGACATGGATTTGATGGATGGACCACTCAGTGGATGAGAAATTGGCAGGATGGTCACACTCAAAGAGTTGTGGTTAACGGCTCAGTGTCCAAGAGGAGACCAGTGATGAGTGGCATTCCTCAGGGATCGGTATTGGGAACATTGCTCTAACATCTTTGTTGGCAGCATGGACAGTGGGATTGAGTACACCCTCAGCAAGTTTGCTGACAACACCAAGCTGTGTGGTGCGGTTGACACACTGGAGGGAAGGGATGCCATCCAGAGGGACCTTGACAGGCTTGAGAGGTAGGCCTGTGTGGACCTCATGAACTTCAACAAGGCCAAGTGCAAGGTCCTGCACATGGGTCGGGGCAATCCCAAACACAAATACAGGCTGGGCAAAGAATGGATTGAGAGCAGCCCAGAGGAGAAGGACTTGGGGGTGTTGGTTGATGAGAAGGTCAACATGACCTGGCAATGTGCGCTTGCAGCGCAGAAAGCCAACTGTATCCTGGGCTGCATCAAAAGAAGCGTGACCAGCAGGTCGAGGGGAGTGATCCTCCCCCTCTACTCTGCTCTCGTGAGACCCCGCCTGGAACACTGTGTCCAGCTCTGGGGCTGAACATAAGAAGGACGTGGATCTGTTGGAGAGAGTGCAGAGAAGGGCTATGAAGATGATCAGAGTGAGGCACTGGAGTATGTTGCCCAGAGAAGTGGTGGATGCCCCATCCCTGGAAGTGTTCAAGGCCTGGTTGGATGGGGCTTTGAGCAACCTGGTCTAGTGGAAGGTGTCCCTGCAGGGTTGGACCAGGTCCCTTGCAACCCAAACCATTCTATGATTCTACTTTCGCAATACCTGTGCAGGGGTAAGAATGAGAGATGGGAAATTGAGATACTTTTCAGATGTTGCCTCAAAAAGGATGATAGGACAGAAAACTGAGCTTACATCAGTCTCCTAAACTAGCACTCATCCTCTCTTTCTCTCCAGATGGCAGACATCACTCTTCCAAGTGCCTACCTCCTTTCTTTCCTTCAGCTGGAATCACCCATTCAGAAAACTGTTGCAGGATGTTGTAGAAGGAGAACTGGAGCCCAGCATATGGAAAGATAGCAATGATTGTGGGGGTCAAACCTCTATAGAAAGTCCGAGGCCCTTCTGTCTGGTACATGGTCATCACTGCATGGCGAAGGTTACGATAGATCTAGACAATAAAAAAAGAAGCTGACTCTCTAGTGAAACAGGCTTAAAACCAGCAAACCAAATGTCAGGTTATTTCCCAGTAAAGAGGACAAGAATTTCCCACTACCTAAAATACAATTGACTGATTTTCAGCACAAAGCGATGAACAAAGTGATTTTGCACATCTTCACACAGTATTCTCAGCTAAGCCCTTGTGACTCTTCTAAGTAAGCTGAAAACCTAAACCTACCTCTGAGCCACAAGAGACTAACTGAACAAATGATTGTTAGCTCTGCACTAAAAGGCCTGGCCTGATGTTGTATCCCACATCCACGCTGTGCTTCTGAGGGGGAAGAAACAAGGCACAGAGCTGAGAGCTGTGGCCTGAGACCACTTGCATCACAGACACAGCTATTTTTCTCTTAACGGATCTGCTTGCTCCTGCAACAGAATTCATATAATGTATATTGTGATTCCACTTCAGGCTAAGTCAAAAAACAAAAATGGCTCTGATACAAGCCCATATGATTCTAGCTATTACTGACCTAATTAGCATGGAGACCAATTCTTGCATAAATAAGAACATGAAACACAGGTGAAAGGTGACTGGTTTCAAGTATCATCCCCATCGTTATCTAAACATGACTCTGTGCAAGTGGAAAGTTTCAAACATGCAATGTTTGACAGACTGGGCTGTGTATTCCATAAATGGCCAACAGCCGAAATGAGAATCAAGTTATCCTGTTAAGGACAGTTTCTCCTTTCTGGATCACCTGTCAGGAGTCAAACACAATCAGGAGCAGCAAACATAATTAAGAAAGCTGTGTCAACAGCACCAAGGATAACTTGGCAACACTATAAACATTACCCAATAACAGCACCTGTTCCTTTATGCTTACCCACAGACGGTTATGTACTTTTCAAACCTCCTGTAGTCATATTTGCTACTGCTACAGATGATAATTCCAAGCATTGCTCCTCAACCATACCTTAGGCTCACCCTGAGCAGCAAAGCGGGTACGTAGTGTGTCAACAGGTTGAACTGCAACAGTGGCAGTGCAAGCAGCCAGTCCACCGCAGACGAAGTGCACAAAGGAATCGCGGGCATTGTATGAAGTGACGTTGTGCACCAGTTTTGTCAAGCTTTCAAACGCCATGAACTTACAGAAACAAACATACACAGGTCAAGGAGTCAATCCTTATCACTGACGTGGATCTCCCACTCCTCTCATTTTACCAAAAGAGCTCCACCCACCGCTTGTAACCACCTTCTCTCTCTTGTCCTTGAAAAGTCCTCCCCAACTTGCAACCTGTTGGAGCATGTGCTCAAAGAATACATTGTAAAAAAAACCAAGCAGCCTGGGGAATGCTTGGGATATTCTGATCTCTGACAGTTCTGCTAAATCTTGCATTTAGAATTGTGAAAAACTTGTTTTGCTCTGCGTATCCTGCATTTGCTATATTACAGATATGCTGCCCATTATTCTTTCAACCACTGCTCATAAAACATGCTGTTAATATTTACAAATTAAGCATAACAATGCTGTGTGAAACACCATCATCAGCTTCAGTGATATTTTTTTACTAACAAGCTTTTAGGGCAACAGTGTGAACCAAAGCAAAAAACTACACAGGCTTGGAACGTGAACAGCTAAGCCAAGTGTAGGCACAAACAGGACTTGTCTATGACACCAGATACAGAGAGAACTCAGTTTGCTCTAGCTGTACTCCAGGCTGGCTGGACAGGCAGTTCAGCGAGCTCAGGAATATTAACTTGGGAATTATATATCAGCATTAGACAACTATACATCTTTGAGACTGGAGCTGGCTTACATCAGTACTATTTAAACTGGGACCTTTCTGCATCTGCCCACGCAGCCAGTCTGAAGAGAAACAAAGCAGAATCCAACATATGTACGCTCAGCCTGGCTGATGTCCGGTCACCTTACCTGAACAGCTCCGTAGCCAACAGAAAGGAACTGAGCAGGAACGTGGCCCTTCCAGAAGGCTACAAACCCTTCTTCCTGGAAGATGCGCTGTACGGCTTGCAAGATGCCATGATACTTAGCCCCTGGATTTCTGGAGGAGAGCTGCTCTATCTGAAGCTGCAGGAAAATAGAGAAAATATTTTCAGTTGCATGTCACATTTCAACAAGGTTCACGTGTCCAGTTCAGGAATTCACAACCCTAACAGCCAACCAATGCTAAGAGGTGACATTCTGCCTTCCCACAGAATCACGTCTAGAACTGACTAGGATGTTATTTATGTAGGGCTCTAAAAGACTAAAAACATGCATGCAATACAAAGGTAATCAGTAGGGATGATGGTGAAATTCAGTCAGGTAGCACACATCATTCAGAAAAACAGAGAAAGAGAACAAACTACAAAAACCACAAGATCCCACACAAGTTAAGGTATATAAACAGAAGCAGTGGACACAAGATAGCCTTACTACCTTGCATAACCTGTATACAACGTTAGGTGAGGGCTGACAAGCAGATTTAGTGCTCTCTGGTTGCACAAGTGACCTGCTCATCCAGGCCAAGATCAGCTCTGCTGTGTAACAGGCTCCTTCACCCCCTGTCCTCAAGCATGCCACAAGGAAGGTACCTGAAAGCGGATCTTGACGACATCCAAGGGGCTGACAAGGACCCGAGTGACCAAGCCCGATGCTGATCCTGCTGCAGCCGCTTCCGCCGTGGAGACGCACTTGGCCTCAGGGTCATAACCAACCATGCCTGCCTGGTGTCCCCGCAGCCTGGGCAGGGGGACAGGGTGCCCAGTGAGCCCTCCCCAGGCAAGGAACTCTCCCCATACCAAGGCTCTATAGCTTCACCCTACAGCCCCCCTCATCCTAAAGCCTCCCCTCACCCCAAAGGCCCACAGACGCTCTCCTCACCCCAAACCCCTTCCTCACCCCAAAGGCCCCACAGTGCCCCCCCTCACCACGATCCCCACCCCTCACCCCCCCACAGCAGCCT